ATTATTTATTTAAGCCTTCCCTTCTTTTCGTCGTCTCCACCCTAGCCGGATTCCGCCTACGCATCGGTGCCTGGGTCCACGGGCCGAAAGCCCCTTCCCACGTCTCTTTCTGTGAGCTGCAGCACTCCAACTTATGGTTCTCTGGTTGCTGCGCTTTCCGGCTTTCTCAGATCTGGCCTCACTCGACTCCGTGCCCCCAGAGGTCGTTATTTCCCCCATTGCCTGCGTTTCCTGGTTTGGTTTATCTGGACTTTAGATCATCTTGTGACCTCTACTTATGCTGCGCGTAAGGCATAAATAAAGATGGCGAGGATTCTGAAACCTTAGCCATAACCCTTCCCCTGTCAATCCTATTAAGATCCCCGCGTGCTGAAAGTAGGGATTTCCTTTCGGAAACCTTTACTTGTAAGCAGCGCAGGATCAGTGCGTACTCTCTCGCAACTGTACTATCCCCAATGACAACAGCATATCCGAGAATAGCCTAGTTTCAATGGGTCCACGCCGATTCGGGTCGGCCCGCAATGCCGCCCACCACACAATCATATGATGTGTGAGTGAGAAGAGGCTCCAGGAAAGGTAATACCCAACAAGCATGAGCTCCCCCCCCTGAAATGAAAGGATTCAATCCAGCCGCGCCCTCGATACGGCTACCTTGTTACGACTCCACATCTGTCTGTGAATCCCAGGGCACTCACCATCCCTTTCAACCGTATAATTCCTCTACTTAGAAAAAAACAGATCCAAATTCCTTATAGATCGCTGGATTTTACGATATGGGATGTTTGAGAAAGGATCGCTTTGGATCTGGGCTAAGTGCATCCCCAGCGTTTCTTCCTTGAGTGGAACTCCCTCTTTATAAAATATAAGTTCTCTAATTTCATAGCGATTCGCTAAAATCCGGTCTCTACTAAAACCCTCGTTAAGTAGCGCTATTTCGAGCTTTTCCTCTATGAGGATCTGTTTATCCAACAAATCGTCATAGGCTAGGCTACCTATTTGTTCACTTTTGCCAAGGAAGTGGTGATTGAGTCGATTTGCCAGCTCTTCGTGCCGCTGTTGGTCGCCCATAAGCGGCTGCTTAACCTCCAGATCCACTGGCGGAGCGCTTCGGGTTGCTACAGGATGGTCCCGCAGGCCCTCTTGGTGGGGAACCTCTTCTGCCACGTGAGGCTGGTGAGAAGGCCCGGGAAGCACCCAATGCCCGAGGGAGGCGTTTGCCTCCGGAGTGACGAGTGCTCGGCAAGCACAGCCAATCACGAAGGCCAGAGCTGCGGGGCAGCCCATTTTTAAAAACAGTACTGAAACGGCCTTCACTCCGAGGAAGCCGGCCACCCTAGAGACAAAATCAAAAAAGAATGAGTGCGCCCCATTTGGAGGCAAAGAAGATAAAAAAAATAAGAAGACTTATGGGAACTAAAAATGGAATGCACGCCCGTCTGGCGCTTAACTGGAACAATAATTTAATTCTTCCGCGGCCGCCCCCGCTTAACCGACTTGAATCTGAACTACGATTCAGACCAAGTCTTACCGAAATTGGATTTCCTTTTCGTGCCATATGCGCTTATACTTTACTTTTGTCCCTTTTTTATTCCCGGTCCAATATGAGTTCTCGAAGATCTTCGTTCGAAAAGACCAGCTAAGCATCATTGGCTTGGTCAGCCTTTACCTGACCAACTACCTAATACTACGCAGGCTCATCAAACAGCGCTTTTTAGCTTTCTTCAGGATTGGCCCGAACTGTTCGGCAGATTCCCACGCGTTACGCACCCGTTCGCCACTTTGTTCTCAACTCTTCTCACCTCCTGGGCGAGACAAGCTACCTTTAGCTAGGAGCCTCTTTTCCTTCTGCCCAGCTCCCCGAAAACAACGTTCGACTTGCATGTGTTAAGCATATAGCTAGCGTTCCTTCTGAGCCAGGATCAAACTCTTCTTTTGACTATGATTTGGCCCTACAGTGGTAGAACCTGGTGAACCGGGCGTACTACTTCTCAACCTTCTGTGAACTTTTCTTCTCTTATGATTTTTGCTACTTTGTTTAGTTTAGTGATTGATATCTTAGAGAAGCTGGTAAAGTAAAGACAGACTCTTTCGAAAGTAATGGTGGCTAGGAATGGCTTCAGTCAGGTCATCGATTCACCTTATGGTCGACTTGCTTGAATCGAAGAAGAAGAAACCCCCGGACTAGAGCCTTCAGTGCTTCTCCCCCATGAATGTGATCAACAAGAATTGATGTACCCACCATTCTAGATAGGAAAGAGATTGATGGTAAGAACCAGTACTAATCTTATAGCAAGCCAAAATAGAGTTTAGATAGGTAAGAACAAGTGCCTATTCTTGCTAGCCAAAAACAAGTTTGAGTTGTCGGGTTGGATCTGAAGCATCAAGCTTCTCCTATACTTTCTCAAAGAAATGCCCTTATCTCGATCTTTATTAGAGGCTAGAGTCTAACCATTAAAGAAGCTTGAACAGGCTTTTGAGTAAAGAAAAAAGTCACCCTCGGTAGCTCTTACGCTTGGTATGAAATGTAGTACTGCTAGTCTTGAACTACAAGCCATATGAAGGGCCCTATGGAAAGCCTATTTCGACATATTCAATCAAGACCTCTGAGAACCCCGAAAAGCTCTAGCCCATTTACTACCGAAACGACATATCCACGCCTAAGGGTCTAAACTATCAAATTCCCTTTCCTCGTATGAAACCTCAAAGTATGGTTACGCTCCGAGCAGACCAGCAGATCTAATGGATGGACCCCTCATTGCCCGAATAAGAGGTCGATCAAGGAGATATATGAGGTTAGCGCATGTTCGTAGTGATTGCCTCAGATAGAGGAGAATAGATTAGAAAGTCTTTCCTTTTTTTACAAATCTGGTAAGCTGGGGTACTTTCTTTATCGGTGACTAAAAAAAGAACACTTTCACTAGCAATTCTTTTTTCACAGCTTAAGTAAGAGGCTAGCAGAACTAGAAAGATTTTGTTTCCCCGGTACAGTGCTTTCATCTTTCACTTCTGCTCTGTCTTATTAACTTCTGCCTGATCTCATAGAACTGCTTTAGTTCTGATCTGTGCTGATCTTACAATCACCGACTCGAAATCGAGGGGCTACCCAATAGCAAATGCCGGCATATCTTCACATCCTAGTGCCCAGCCGGACAAGGAGCCTGTGTTACTAATTGGCTTGATAGTTCAAGTAGTAAAGGAGGTCTGTGGTAGTCAAGTATGTCTGTGGCTAGAGGATAAAAGCAGTGAATCTTAGTACCCTGTAAGCGTGAAGTCAGGCTTTTCTAACTCCTAGTTGGCTAGTAGAAGGATAGAGACTAAAGTTAGTTTACCCGAAGCAAAGTCAAGAGAGAAAGGTGGTAGCTCTCCATGCAAGCTATTCTAGCAAGTCTTCTGTGGAGGAGGAGTAGCACTAGGCAAGTAACTTATTTCACTAGTTGAGATACACAGATTACTCATGGTTGTACGAGCTTGAATAGTAGTTGAAAGGACCAGCTATTGAATACACATTGAACCATGGAAATAACAATCTTAATGGGCCTATACCAGAGAATCTTGGCTCAACCTACAATGCCTAGTTCTTTCTCATAATAATCTATCCGGGTCGATTCCTTCCAAGTCATCTTTGTCTTTTCTCAGGTTAATATACCTGATCTGAGCTATGCTCAACATCGTGGAGTTTTTGATCAGTCTTACAATAGGTTGTCTGGGACCATACCTGATGAAAGAAAGGAGGTCACTTGTTTAAGTCAAGCAATCGTAGAGACCGGGAAGAGTTAGCTGTGAAAATTCTACCTCTACTGGCCTCAACAAGGCAGAACCAAAGAGAGTAGTGAGGGGAGAGGAGTGAAAACCCGACTCAAGGCATAGTAGATCTATTCCTGCTACCTTACAACCTCCCCCAGTCTCGCACAAAGACAAAGAAGGAAGATAGTTTCAGCATGAAGCTTGCTTGGCTAGAAAGAGAAAGTCTTCAGCCTAGCTCGACTGAAAGGAGAGGAAGCGCCTAAAAGAAAGCCTTTTTTCGAGATTTGAAACTCCTAAGAAATCTTGCCTTCCTCTGCTGCCCCGGGAGAGTGAGTTTGTATGCCTGTTGGGTCTTTTCCTGGCTTTCTCACTAGGCAAATTATCAAGTCGATGCTCATATAACTGCATTTTGATACTCTCACTTTTCCCTTCGATGAGCTGATCTTGAATTGCAAAAGTGATAGCTTATATAACTGCATTTTGATACTTTTTTGAAGACGAGAAAGAGTTAGCCTTAAATGTTCGGTCTTTCATTTCAATAAGTAGTCAGCTGCGGGCTAAGAGGCCTCGTAGTCAGACTTCACATTGATTGAAGCAGCTGTTGGAGAGAAGGCATCAGTCAGACCTGCAATTACCGGGTAGTATGCAGCGGCAGTTTTCAATCATACAATGTGTACTCGTAGTCTGACTTTTAGCGGTAGTCAGCTGTCCTCGTTCTCCTCTTTGAATTGCCCTATTGAGTAAGGGTCGGGTCGGTGTTTGCAAAAATGTCGAGCCGACGGGGTCAGGTACCAGTAGTGACAATGGCAAAGGGGGGAGCAGGACACTCTAAGTGCTAGAATTAGATCTAACCGTATCCGGTCTTTCGAAAGAGAGTAAGCTCTTTTGTGAGAGTTCAGAAGAAAGATTTGCTAACTGTGAAATCATCTGCCCTGCTGTAAGAAAGGTAACTGCTTTCGTAGCAGCTCAACCAGTAGCCGGTGTAAGCAATTGAATCATCATAAGAGTGAAGTTAGCTGGGCTAGGGCTGTCATCCCTCCCCTTGGATGGCCTAGCTGTTGGAAAAATAAGAGCTGTGAACGTAGGAACTGTTGGCAATAACCGTTGGTAGACTTCTTGTTTCCGGTGTAGATGTTATCAACTCGGTAAGGCGAAGAACAACCAAAAATTCCCGATAAAATGAAAGATTTCGATTGATTAATTAAATCGGATTGATGGACAGATAATGGCATTGATGCCATAGAAGAAGCTCCTGGTGGTTCAGTCAGGTAATCAGTAACCGTTGCTACCCTTGCTCGAGTTTGGGTAATTGTGAAATAATCCGCTGCTCTCGTCAACCTTGCTTGGCTCTCTCCTGTTGATTATGCCTGATCTGATGGAGGAAGAACCGCGCTTAGAAATGTGAACGTAACCTTCGCTATTTCATCTCCGGCTATTGAGCAAAGTGGAAGAACTGATTGCACAATTGAAAGAATAGGCTCTGGTACTAATGACTTAACTGTTGATGGAAGGAACTTCACTCAAAGCTGGGGAAGGAAAGGAAGGGTCAATTTCGTAGATAAGAAGGGCGTCGTTAGCAGGATAAGGGCTAGACAGATATTTCATTAAGAAAGAGACGATTCGCCGAGGAACTCTAACTAGATCTAGCGAGTGTCTCCGTCAGATACACTCTTCGTGGTTAAACAATAGAATTGAGAAAATATCGTTATAATGAATGAGGAGCGTCGTCAATTGGTCAATTCATTTTTTTGAGAGTTTGCTGCTTCAGAGAATCGAGATTGAGTTGGTGTTAAGTAAGGTACAAGATTGAAAAGAATGCTTTTGCATTCCAAGTGCAGAATCCCGTTCATTTCTTGGTTAACAGCCAAGCTACCCTCATTAAGTAAGACTGTTGGTCTTGCTAAAGAGAAGCTTAAGCTACCTAAACAAAGATAGGGGAGCGCGGCACGACTATTTTATTATTTTCGGATGCAACCGGAACAAGATTTTTTGATTCTCTACGGGCAACCAAGCCCGAGTGAGCTTTCTTTTATGCTATCCCAAGAGACTGATATGGACTTCTTGGGATCCGCAGATTCTTCATTAGATAGTCTATCAAGTACTGAGTCAGAGGCGCAAAGCGCTCCACCATTTCCGGAAATCCTGGAAAGCATAAGTCATACATTAAACCAATTACTAAATGAAACCGAAAGGCAGTTACCTCCCGAATGGTCCATGGCGGACCTTGTTCGGGCTGTAAATGCGGACGATTTAAGTAGCCTAGTCAGGGATTTTTATGACTTACAATCAAATGGAACTCATAGTTGGTTATGGGAAGAGATTTACAATCTCCTCGATTTAATCAACTATGTTTTCTAATGAGGTTCTGGAGTTCTAACATTTGAATTTCTCTTACATTCTACGTTCCCGAAACGGATCCTATCAAATATTTCACATTTTCTATGATCATCTCTATTTCAGGTATTCGGGGAATCCTCCTTAATAGACGAAATATTCCTATTATGTCAATGCCAATTGAATCAATGTTATTAGCTGTGAATTCGAACTTTTTGGTATTTTCCGTTTCTTCGGATGATATGATGGGTCAATCATTTGCTTCATTGGTTCCAACGGTGGCAGCTGCGGAATCTGCTATTGGGTTAGCCATTTTCGTTATTACTTTCCGAGTCCGAGGGACTATTGCTGTAGAATCTATTAATAGCATTCAAGGTTAAACATGACTCCTAGAGAGTTAGCAAAATACGAAGTTCTCTTTTCGTTCTCTTCTTTCTTTTTATTTTGACTTGGTTGGCAGGGTCAGGGCCTTTCTCGCTGGGCGAGCGCATCCGATTCTAAAGTCCTTTCCTAAACCACTTCCCGTTCAGTTGCTGAAAGATAGAGAGAAGGCTTTCTAAATGAGATTG